TATATATATATATATATATATATATATATATATATATATGTATATATATATATATATATATATATATTTATATATATAATATATATATATATATATATATATATATATATATATTTTTATTTATATATAGACACACATACACATTTTTTTTCACTGCAGGACATAGGCTTCTCTTAATTCACTATTGAGAGGTTGGTTATATGACAGTGTCACCCTTGCCTGACTGGATGCCTTTCCTAATCAACCGCAGTTCGGCGCGGTGACTTCCCACAGTATATAGATACATAGATAGATAGATAGATATAGATATAAATGTATGTATGTATGTATAAACATATACATATATATGTGTATATATTTGTGTATATGTATATATATATATATATATATATATATATATATATATATATATATATATATATATATATATATATATATATATATATATATATATGTATATATACATATATATACATACATACGTATATGTATATATGTATTTCTACATACACACGTATATATGTATATGTGTATATATGTATATATATACATTTTGTCTTTTATTTATTTACATTCATATATATACATATATATATAAATGTATGTAAATAAATAAATGAATTAATAATATATATATGGATAAATATGTACATATATATATATATATATATATATATATATATATATATATAAACATACATATATATGAATGTATTTGTATATATATGTATGTATATAACACACACACACACTCAGTGAAATATCTACATATTCATTGTAGCCCTATTACGGTTTTGCGTTCAGCTAATGTTCTATAATGAAAAATATAATGTAGCATGCTTTGTGTTTATTGAATCAGTGTTTTAGTGTTTGGTTCAGGCGAAGAAACGGTATCTTCATTAGTTCGATTAGCCGTTGCTAGATGGCGCAGCTACGAAAGCCATTTAGAAAGGTATCAGCGAATTTGAAGAATTTTATTTGATACAGCTGCCATATATAGATTTTTAAAGCATAAAGCATTTTCAAATTTCAAGAAATATCCAGCTATAGTTGATTCTTGCTGTGTTGAAAGAAGGGGATATGCGGCCTCACCTCCATAGGTGTTGCCATTTCGATAAAGAAACAATTCCCGAGAAAGTGCATTTGAAAAATAGCCCATTGCAAAGTCATTGATAACTAATACTACATATTTGAAGAAAACGAAAGATGGCTTACCTAGTATCTAAAAATAGATACTAATACACTTGTTGGTCATTTGTGTTCTACCAGTCACGCTCGTTCTTACAAACAGCCTAAGGTTTTCGCCTCATTGATAAAAAATACTATTTACTCTATGTTTACATTGAAGTGGCTTCCAGGTGTACAAAAGTGTACTGAAATATAATTCCGCAACTGTACATATATAAATGTGTGTGTGTGTGTGTACATATATACGTATATGTATAGGTATATATGTGTATATGTAAAAAAAAAAAAAAAAAAAAAAAAAAAAAAAAAAAAAAAAAAAAAAAATATATATATATATATATATATATATATATATATGCATATATATGTAAATTATACATACATATATATATGTGTGTGTGTGTGTATGTGTGTGTGTGTGTGTGTGTGTGTGTGTGTGTGTGTGTGTGTGTGTGTGTGTGTGTGTGTGTGTGTGCATATATATGTATATATATACACATTAGCATATTCAGCGTAAGCATAGCCATTCCCTTATATATTCAACAAATATACTATGAGTCTAGTATCATAAATAATGGTGCATTGCAGAACACACACACACACACACACACTCACACACACACACACACACACACACACACACACACACACACACACACACACACACACACACATGACATTAACAGAAGGACAGGAATCTGTTATCATTTAAAAAAACTTCCCTGAGCACACACAGACGCAGATATATACAGATACACTATGGATGCACCGTAACCCAGTGGAGTGCAGGCAGAGATATATTCTGCCCTCAGTGTCTTATCACATGGATCAGCGTTAGGTAAGGGTCGCCATGTAAACTACACTTTCATATATTGTTCGTTCTCCTGGTACCATCGAATCTCTCGCACAATTTGCAATCACTAGCAGGTGAATATTGTAATGGATTGCTGAAATAAAAACCAAGTGCGTTTCTTTCATATTCTATGGAATCTGGTTTCAAGAAAATCTGGGGAAATAATGAATTGCTTATATTCGTGATGTCGGGACTTTATATGGTGGCATCACGGAGAAAGTTATTTTATTGTTAACATTTCAGTAATACTACTTTAGTTGATTCTGACCATGACACTGATTTTGATTATTCTGAAAATGCTGATAACGATGGACATAACAAAGCACGTCAAGAAGAAAGTTTCATAGACTATGAAGTGAACATGAGTGAACATGATCGGGAGTCGCGAGCCAAAAGCCCGAGGAGGAGCCCCTGCATCACTCTGTCAGGCTGATAGTGATACATACAATTAGCGAGAAGCTTTGTTCGTTCCAGGACTGTACGATTTTGATCACTGAAGCATTTGCAGTCACTGGGACGTAAAAGATGACTCCAATGAATTTGACTTCTTTCAGTCATACATTGATTACCATGCAGTAAAATATAATCGAGAGAAATATCATGTAAATAAAACTTTTCTTTCGTGTAATGTTGAACGGTACTTCTGTAACCTGAGACATAAATACCGGAACATAGATCCCTGTAATACGTAATCATCACGTGATCATCTCCTGAATCAATCAGGGTATCATAGGGGGAATGGAACCAATAGCATAACAGGAATAAAAGCACTCAAGGGCACCTCACTCCCTCGCTTGTCGTGACTCGCAGCGCCCTTGTAAGCGAGGTCATGCCGGAGTGTTCTTGCTGGAGTGTTCTCTCTCTGGCTTCTTGTGTGTCTTCGCTCCTTTTCTCGGTCCTCGAAAAGCGTAAGTACTTTCAGTCCCTGTGTCCTTTACCGTGTGTCTGTGGCTCCTTCCCCTGCACTTGCTATAACAAGCCCAGTTTAGGCAGATCGTTTTCTTACATGATTATATTGGGCAATTTAGCTCTCTCACTATAAACTTCCAAATACCTTTTAGTTAAGACGAAAGAATTGCTAGTAATGTCATAAATTTTCCTGTTAGGAAAATCTATAAAAATAAATCGTGAGATTTTGAGACTGAAATTTAGGATTTTGGAAATAATTCATTCACAAAGTATTTCTTAGGCGCCTCACGCTAGGCTGTCCGGAGCCACTTATACCTTAAAAGCTTTTCAACAGGTAGTCTATCAGTGCAATATATACATACAAGGCCTATGTTGTAAACCGAAATATAGATAGATAGGTAGATAGATAGTTAGATAGATAAATAGAGTGATAGACAGATAGACAAACAGACAGGCAGATAAACAGATAGATATATGAATAGATAGAAAAGCACACAGATGAATACATGGACTTAAATACGGATACAGAAACAGAGCTCAAATTCATGAACAAATGGAGTAGTTGAACAAAGGCACAAACTGTGCATACTGTTTAAATGACTTTCTACACATTTTTTCAGTAATATCGCAATGTTAAGATTTATACAATACTGCCTGCAAGTAACGAAAGAAAAGCAATCTCTCTTTTTTCACAGAAATATATGTTATAAATTCTAATAAATACGCTGCATGACATCCCTTGTATAAATTGGCTGTATGGTAACTTACAGTCAGACAGGACGAATCAGGCGTATAAGTTTCATTGTAATCATAATATCCATCATTATCATCATTATCATTATCTTTATCATTATCATGATCATCATAATCATTATCATCATCATCATTATCATAATTATTATCATTATCATTATCATAATAATAATCATAATCATAATCATTATCATCATAACTACTACTGCTAGCATAATACCAACCACACCCGTACTAATACCATTACTATTACTATTATCATTATCATAATCAAATGTATCACTGATAGCGCATACCTGAGAGAGAGAGAGAGAGAGAGAGAGAGAGAGAGAGAGAGAGAGAGAGAGAGAGAGAGAGAGAGAAAGAGAGAGAGAAAGAGAGAGAGAGAGAGAAAGAGGGAGAGAGAGAGAGAGAGAGAGAGAGAGAGAGAGAGAGAGAGAGAGAGAGAGAGAGAGAAAGAGAGAAAGAGAGAAAGAGAGAGAGAGAGAGAAAGAGAGGTGGGGGAGGGGGGGGGAAAGATGAAGATACCTCAATATACTGGACGCTGTAATTATATTATACATCAGCGACGAAATTAAGGCTATTTAGGCATTTAATATAAAAATAGGTGATCGAAACAAGATACTTTTGTGAGAACTGGTCATATGATATTACAAAGCAGTTTTTTGTGACCAAAATTGAGTATGAATTACCAAGTGGCATCACTAGGCGCTCAACCATTATCATGGATTAACAGTGAGATCAGTTTGTAATCTAGCCTCAGATAGCGAACTTGGCGAGACTTTCATCCGTGTACAATATACTTCCGTACTATTCAGTGCCAATTCCCCAATTCACCTTTTCTCCTAAAGCTAAAAACTAGACGTGTGATATTTGCGATGCACAAGCAGTTCTGGGTAACACAGTGAAGACACTGAACGATACAAATATAAAAGTAAATTAAAATAAAAAGTACGTAACGCAACGGTCATGACTAATATCAGAACAGAGATCAATACTTTTTCGGTCTTAATATTATTGATGATTCTTATGCTGTGACAAATAAATTTTCTTAGAATTCTATTTAATCGAATATGTGCATTTGTAGCCTTTATGCAAGGGTTTATAGTACATGTTCGATGGGTCGTGATATCATAACCCAAACAAAAAATGCAATTATGCCTACGTAATATTGAAATTCTACTACGTGGATCTCATGACTTCAGAGGCAAGTATACCGAGAGGTGATTGAATGAAATATAGATGATAAATGTTATTCAGTTAAATTTATCTTTCGTTTTTTTCCTCAGAACCAAAATGCTGTATGAGTTTCTAGCAGTCGTGGTTGTCGCCATGACAGCACTGACATTTTGGGACGGCGTGCCCGTGGTAACAGTGGAGGAGGGTCAGGTGTCTGGCATCACGGAGATCTCCACGAAGGGCAAGGAATTCTACTCCTATTATGGCATCCCCTTTGCCAAGCCTCCTGTGGGAGAACTCAGGCTCAAGGTGAGTGTTGACCCTATAAGGTGGCTGACGTACCAGACGTCTTTGGGAAATGCAATTGATGTAGTGAAACGCATTTGCAATTTTACATTATGATGTAAATAATGTAACAATATTTAACAATAGTGGTTTCCCCTCAGAAGCGATCAGTCTCATAGTCACCAGATAATCGGTTTAATTTCTTACACATTGTTCAACAGCCACAATGAGAAACTGAAACGTTTCTGAGCTTCAACCTCACCCATCACGAAAACTTTGATACTTGTATATTATAAATTGAATTAAATTTATAATTGATGAATTACTCAGCCTTTCCACTGAAATTGCCAGCGTTTGTTTAACACATTTGTTTTACTTTGTGTAAAGAATATGAATATTGTGAAAGATTACTTTCTGCCAGAAGGTATTAAAAAAAAAATCATGATAGTTCTTAAATATCACATTTTTATCAAATTGGACTTTGTAATTTTTTTTTAGTAAATTCACTCTCCTTACTACCATCGCACATTTCATTACATATTAGGTACTGATTTCCGTTTCACCTTCTACTTGTTATACATACCTTCTTTATCATAACAAACTGGATGCAGAATGCAGCTCAAAGCATGGTAGGTCTCCCTAGTTCATGATGGAATGAGTATGGGGAGGATGCACTCTCTCACAAGGCCTTGGCGTGCCTGCTAACCATTTTGCGTCGTTCCTTTCTACTGGCCTTCTGTTCGAGTTAATCTTGGGATCAGCTTGCAAGGTCATCGGGACCCCAACATTCCTGCAGTAAGAATACTCTCATAAAACGAGTAAGTAGAAAAAGCAGACTTTTTTTTTGTTACGGTAGATAGCGACTAATACTTTGCCTCACCCTTACTTGCAGGATCCGGTTAAAGGAGAGAGGTGGGAAGGCGTGCGGGACGGATCCAGAAAGCCCTCTTCATGTCTCCTTGTGCCATTGGCTTTCTCTGTCATGGGCATTCACAAAGCCCCAGAGGACATGTACGGGGACGAAGACTGCCTCTACCTCAACGTTTTCACATCAAACGTTAGTCAGAATAACTAGCGCATGTCTAACAAGGAACTGGTGTCTTTTAGAAACTATTAGTATTTCTTCTTTATCATGGGTATTTTTGTCATTTAAATCATATATTTCTTTTCATAGCAGACTAATGAAAATTATCATAATATAATCATATATTTCCTTTCAAGGAGTAATGATTAGTCTGGTGTTAATTATATATTTCACATACACTAAAGCCTAGCAAGAAACTCCCAGTGATGGTGTGGATCCACGGAGGATCATTTATCTCTGGAAGCAGTCATGAGTACCTGCCTCATGTCCTTATGAACCATGACATTGTGCTCGTAGTGTTGCAGTACAGACTTGGTATCATGGGTTAGTGATCATTCAGTGTATATTGGATTGCTATATATAGAGAATGTAATTTCTTCTCTCTTTCTGTTACATGTTCCAGTACTCACCTTTATGGTAAATACACTGTGCACTCACTCATTTCTGTTAAGTCTGTTTTTATACATTTTTATTTGCTCTGCAGGATTCCTATCCACGGAGGATGAGGTGATTCCAGGAAACTTCGGGCTGAAGGACCAGACCCTCGCCCTCCGCTGGGTGCAGGATAACATCCACAACTTCGGAGGCGACGCCGACAGGGTCACCATCTTTGGGGAGAGTGCTGGGGGCGCCTTCGTCCATTATCACATTTTGTCACCTAAATCAAAAGGTAAGGCGGGCCATTTAGTCAAATTTCAATGTATAGTGGAAATTGCAGCATCATGTTCCTTAATCCTCTTCATCTTGTTAATGGGAGCCACCAGGAGACAGTGGGTAGTGGGGGGGGGGCTTGAGGTCTCAACAGTTACATGAATTCTGGGACTGCCATTTGTTTGATAACTGTATGAACTTCCTGACAACACCTGCGGCTGTTCAGCTTATTAGAGCCACAATATCAAGTTCCCTCTTGCTGGACACATTGCTTAATGTGTATAGGGCAAGGGATGATGAAATGCAAAGCTGAGTTAATTTGGATAATAAGCCATTATAGGTGTCAATGCAGTAAGTAAACGAATCGATCCGGCTTCCAAGCTCTCATACTAGTTCAGAAGTAGAAGTGTCCCTTACTCTGCTATGGAGATCATGGTTGACAATTTTGAGAGCCTCTCTTAATAAGAAGGATTATGTGGAACACAACTGTATTGCTTTAAGACTTTGGTATATTTAATGTTAGAAGCACAATGTCTCACTCTTAATGGAATCACCATCACCACGTAAGAGTAACTGAAATTATCCTGAGATCTGATGCCATGTACTGAGGAGGTACTGGTAGAGGTTAATGGAAGCAGTAGTAGAACATCTTAAGAAGAATACTGAACAGATCATGTATTTCTGACGAAAATATCATCAAAACTGCAAATACACTTTCTGCATGGTAAAGATGTTCATTCTCGTTCATACATTTTTAGTGCGTATTTCACAATGAACACTGTTCATGATGAAAGTAATGTTGGATCGTCATCGATGGGGATCATATTATAGGAGATATATTTCCATTTTCTTAGTATAATGATGCAAAGGCCTCAATTCTAAATTTGTTGCCATAAAAGATTTTCACACGTAGTGTAATTACACATTTGTTATAACAGTGAAAGGCTGTGTTTCAGGAATGAATGAATGAGAAATGGTAATTACAATAGATTATATCTACAACATATACGTTATTCACACTTTGAAATAGCAAAAAAGGTAAATTATTTGCATACTTACTGCATGTTTGATGATTCAGTTTATTAGTAAATCTTAAATCATAACGGTTTTTGTTATTCTCATTAGTATATAGAATTTATCATTATCATCACTCTTATCAACAGAAGTAGTAATGGTAGCAACAACAATACTAATATTGATTACATTACTACTAATGTTACTGCTACTACCATTACCCTTAGTTGTAGTAGTGGTAGTGATAGCACAAGTAGAAGTAGCAGTAGCTACAGCAATACTAATATTAATTACATTACTACTAATGTTATTGCTACTGCCATTACCCTTGGTTGTAGTAGTGGTAGTGATAGCACAAGTAGAAGTAGCAGTAGACATCCCGAGATATGATTAGTATTATGTTCACTGTACAACATCAGGTAACTCATCTCCATTAGGTCTTTTCTCCCGCGCCATCATCCAGTCGGGGTCGGCCATGGCGCCGTATTCTCACAGGGAAGACCTCAGACTCGTGGCGCAGGAAGTAAGCCAAGCCGTCGGCTGCCCCGAAGGTCCCAGCAGCCAAGACATCCTTGAATGTCTTCAGCAGGTGGATGGACGCAGATTGGCTATTAGGTTCCAGGATTACTTGGTTAGTTCTCAACATATCCCAGAGAAAATGTCCTGGACTCGTGCATATTAAAGGGAATTATTTACTTGTGAGAATAATGGTTTAATAAAGAAACTGGTTGATAATCTATAATTCATATGTCTCAGAAATGGTTCGTCTTGCCGCTAGTGACGGTACCTCGTATTGACGGGGACTTTCTACCGGATCACCCCGCGCGCCTGATGCGTGACGGAGACTTCAACCAAGTGGACCTCATGGCTGGAATCACAAGAGAGGATGGAGCTTTTGGAACAAACCGTTAGTGTTATTTCTGGGTTATTGTGATAGATATGGATGATTATATATAAGATCAGTAGATAAACCTATAGATATTAATGAGGTGAATGATTGATCAGTTTAGTAATTAGCATTATATAAACAATCCAACAGGTCATTGAAGATCGGTAGTTTGCATAATCATATGGGATGTTCATTAAATTAAGCCCGTCATTTATGGTTAACCTTTCCTTGTATGTGCACAGAGAAAATTAGTAAATTAGTACTTTAAACTTTATGATAAATTTACCTTTTGGTGGAAAATGCCAACATAGAGACTGGTATTATTCACACACATTCTGAACCACAATTATATTCTTGTTCTACACCATCTGTTCACCTACCTCAGATCACAACCAAAGTTTAATTAACTCTTACCTTGGCTTTAGACAATCCAGCCATACTCTATCATCAAGGACAATCTGTAACTTTATGGTAATTCTGACGACAGCCAATAATCAAATAAGTAACTGTGGCCTAAAACATGTCTTCTTTCTTATATAGATGTAAGTAACAAATAAATGAGGACTGTAACATAATTTCGCCCTTCAGCGGAGGTAACAGAGAATTTTCAGAAGAATTATGAGGTGTTTTCCTACTGAGTTGTGAACAATCCTCCTTTTCCCATCAACTCCAAAGGCTACTAGCAGTACCTCAGTTTTATCTAAACTAAATTAGTGGTAGTTTCCACTGTGAATGTGAGAATCAAAATAACCCTAATGATTATCATCATTCTTCTGGCCAATCGAAAGCATTTTCCTCCACAGCAATGTTAGTTCGAAAGGACCTCTTCCCTGCTTTACGAAACAACTTCAGTACCTTTGGGCCTCTTACCCTCACGGTCGGACCTGAAGTTGAAGACCCCGTTGCCTTCAGCACCAAGGTCTACCAACACTACCTGGGGAGTCTAACCATCGACCGCGATCACATAGAAGAAATCACGAAGGTAAACGCTTCTGTTCAGTTCGCTGCTCAATTTCTCGCGAATGCTAATTTGGTAAAAGTAGGCGTGGACTTCGATTATTTATTTTCTATTTATATTCACTTAAGATTCCTACTTTCACTGATGTCAAATTTTGAATTTGATTATCCGTTTCGATTTTCGAAAAGAACTATATACATACATACGAGTATTCATTTATAAACGTGGTTACATCTATTATGTAACTATTTCTGGTATATATGTATTCCTGTGACATACAGTATATCTCATTTCATTCTAACCATGAACTTTTTCACTGTATTATTCTTTAAATATTTTTATCTCCAGTTAAGCACAGACTACACGTTTGCGATACCACACGACCTGACTACCCTTTACCACGCGAGGGTCCCTGGCCTTCGTACTTACCGCTACGAGCTCAAACATCGATCCCAGCTGTCAATGGGAGACTACTTCAACACAGATAAAGGGCGTCACTGTGAGTTGTTTCAGAACAGTAACAGGACACTAATTGGTATTTTAGTGTGGTAAAGAGAGATTATGATGATGACTATTGTTGTTTCTGTTAATTAAGGATTAACGGGAAAGTGGGAGGGATTAAGAGTAAAGATTATTTAAATGAGTTGATGGGTAAACTGACATCTCCAAACCCTGATTTTATTGATTTCACCTTGGCTCTCAGTGCTTCCTTGAGACGAATATGCAGGTATTTTACACATTAAAAACAAAAAAGTAGATAATCTAGCTCATATCCCTCTCATCTTCGTCATCTATCACAGGGATTCCTCATGCTGACGACCTGTACTACCTGTTCGCCGGCGGCCCGCTCCTCGTCCGCAGCTACTTGCCCGATCGCCCGCGGGACCTGCAGAACGAGGAGGACCTTCGCCTCAGAGACATCATCACGACCATGTGGACGAACTTCGCTGCCACGGGGTAACTTTTGACATGTGACATGCTTCAAAAAACATTTGTAAAGTGACTAAGTATTGTTGACAAGACTGGGTGTCTGAAACATCACGGAAATTTATTTAAATTTCCCCTTTGTGATTTTAATCTTGAGTCATGAGTTACAATTTTATTTAACCGAGTCGAGTCCAGCTAATCTTACAGCGTACTGTAATATTTCATATTCCCTGTCAGATTTTCCGAGGAAGAGGGACTTTTTCCATTAAGATCATTGATTGCAATGACCTGCAATTAGATGAACTTCTTAGACTGGTCAATTGTTTTACTCTAATATTTTAAGTCGAACTCACACGTGCTACACAACGTATAATCACTATCAATCCCATATCATTTTTTACATTACTGCTCAGTTTTATTGAAAAGGCACGTGTATTAAGGTCCAAAGGTGTTCTTGTGCCAAAGCAAACAGAAAACGCCTCCAACGTTTGAAGTAGTTGCTTATAGAAAGTACGTATACGTTACTATAGAGACATCCTGTAGGAGGACATGTTATGCAAAATGTGTCTATTCTGCAGTGTGTTGTTCTACTCAGGTTGTTGGATTCCTTTATAGATGTACTATACTTCCCCTTGAGATGCATATGGGAAAGATGATAATGAATTGATAATTCTTACTAGTGACATTGGTATACATGTTTCTGCGGACATGTCTTCTTTGTCCACTAGGGTATGGGGCCAACATCCTTTAGATATATATTTTCAAATATGTTTACATAAATAACTATTTTTCAATATGTACATTTATTAGAAAGATTGTCCTCGTCCACATCTCTTAATAGTTGTCACTCTGTTTGTATCTATCTTATCTATGTAACTAATCATCTACTGATATGATATGTGTACAAGTACTGTCAGTGTTCACACATCCGTCCCCCCCTCCTCCCAGCAACCCAACCCCCGACGACTCCCTGGGCTTCAAGTGGGAGGCGGCGACCGAGGACGACCTTCGCTACCTCGCCCTCAAGCCCTCGCCCACCATGGAGGCCGACCAGCGACAGGAGGTGAGTGACCTCCTATGCATCATTAGCTAGACACACACACACACCAATGATTTTTATCTACCTATGCAAATATAATCCCGGACATTTTTTTTTTTTAATCTAAAGTCTATTGGTTATAAAGATTTGTTTTATTTTGTCTTCTCTCTCCTGCCAGGCGCGAGCTTTCCACGCATCTCTGCCAATGCGACTGAACCAGATTCTCTATCCCGAACGCATCGTCCCATTATGAAGTAGCACCTAAGGAAGGCAGGGAGGCGTGGTGAAGGAGCTAGTGGGGAGGGGGGTAGGGAGGGCACTAGTTTATCCTATGGCATAAATCATTATCCTTTTTTTTATATAGGCTGTGAATCTGTCTTATGGTTTCCTGTTCGTCAGACAGCACATTTCCATAACTCGTCTCTATTTTCCGTGATTTTTTTTTCTTGAATGATATATGTTGCAATAAAGGAGTTTATTAATTGCTGTGAGCGAAATATTTTTATGTATAGCACACCTAAAACGCCATAAAGCATAAGCATAGCCCAAGGGAAAATGTTCTGCAGTGCACCATTATTTATGATACTAGACAATATATTTGTTGGATATATAAGGGAATGGCTATGCTAACCATGAACTTATCAGATTAGGCAAAAAATATATATATGTGTGTGTGTGTGTGTGTGCAGTCGCTAAAATAAGTATCTTTACTTTTTCTGACTTAACAATATGATACGACGACGACCTAATAATGGTATCCCTGACAGGGGCGTCATTTGGGGGAGAGGGGCAGGGAGGGGCAGTTGTCTCCCCCTATACTGTTTGCCCCTTCAAGGGCCACAGTGTTTAATCGTTTTCCTAATTGCCCCTACATAGATCCAGTTATAGCTTAAAATGGACCTAGAATCACTCATTTTCTAACTTTTTGTTCACTGCTTTGTTCTCTGCCTATGAGACTGAGATAGGGGTGTTGCCGAAATCACAATACTGTTCGAGTGGATGGGGCTGTTATCCTGGACAAAGTCAAATAGTTCTGGATAGAGGAATACCAAGGCTCTCACCGATGGAAGAAACATCTCGTCCAGGATTCCCACGTTGGTATCCCTCGTAAATCTGCTGGACCCGACATCTGTACATTCGTCAACAACCCAACACCATTGCTATGTATTCACCCAAACTGCACAGCAATTTCTTGGATGGATTGTTTAAAAGTGATAATGATGAAAATAAGTAATTAAAAAGAAAAATGACTCATGGAAAGGGGACATGGCAACTAGCTATTGGTCACGCCCCCTTCTCAAACTCTGTGAGGGGTGTTGACTCTAAGCATTAAAGGGTTTTCATTATCTCATGATATTAATGCACTTCAATGCAATGTTCCTATTTGTCTTTCATAAGAACATTGATTTATAGATTTGAGTAACATTTACTTGATCTTCCTCCATCGTGCATCTAGGGTGCCCAATTCTGGCCTTGTGTCTGGTGGATCCAGTTGCTGGGTGTCGCTGGATCCACAGAGACGCAATTGACTTCGAAATACGTTTTTTAATTCGGTCTCCATTGCTAATTTTGGCATGGTACGAAGTCCTAGCCAAATCAACTTCGAAACTTTGTTCGAGCGCATTATGAAGCTTCATCTTTCCCAAGCTTTGAAAACAATAAGTACCAACCTTTCCGAATCAACTCCTAGCGATCGTTCTGGTTTCATCTACTCCCAAGTAAAGATATTTTTTTAGCGATGGTACATATACATATATACATATACATTTATATGTATATATTCATATACATATACATATATATATATATATATATATATATATATATATATATATATATATATATACATATATATATATATATATATATATATATATATATATATATATATATGTATGTATATATATATATATGTATGTATATAATATTCAGATGCCTGAAAAGTGCATTTTCCTAAAAACAATAAAAAAAAAACTTACCGAGAGAGTATGTACGTGTATATATATATATATACATACATATATATGGTTGTTTGACGAGGGTTCGTGAAGAGTTAGTGAGGCAGTTGGGACAGACTGGCGAGTGTGGCATCGTAGAGTGTGGGAGCATATCAGCGACTTCATCAGGAGCGTAGCACAGGTGTGAATGATCAATAAAAAGACGTGATAGGGGTAGGTATGGATCAGAGGAGGACTTTTTAGCAATGGCTAGGCATGAAGGGAGGCCAAGAGGCACTTCGACAGGAGGGCTTTGTCGTCAGATGGTGTGGATTGGCAACAGGCGTCGGCGAGAAACGTGGCCTCGCAGGGTAGTGGTGAATTAGCACTGGCATTGTGAGATTCTTGAACACCGCTCCCATCAGATGCCAGTGAGAGAGAGTGGCCTTAGTGCAGGTGAATGAAAGTGGTCCTGGCTTGCTGAGTTTATTACTAAAGGTAGATGTGAGACCCCTAGGAGACCCCCGTGTCGCCGGAATCGTGGTCTGTCTACCGAGGCTCTCCCTTTTCATCTCTGGCGAAACATGTCCTTTTATGTGGCTGTTCCCTTCGAGGGTGGATTCGCAATAGAAGTGCCAAAAGAGGAAGCAGACCAGGGCACCTGCATCCGCTCAAAGAGGAAAGGCAACTGCTGGGGACAGAGGTGTGAAGCCTAACATTCAGTCTTGCTATATATTTTTTACAATATATAGCAGTATATAATATATATCATATATATACTTATATATGTATATATACATATACATATGTGTGTTTGTATGTTTATATATATACATATATATATGGGTGTGTATATATATATGTGTGTGTGTGTGTAATTACATATATATGTATATATATATACATATATATGTAACGACGCCGAGTGCAGACAAAACGCATCTGGCACGATGCGGTACTCTTGGGTAGTGGCGAAGGTGAGACAGACTTCTCGTTCACTTGCCACAGTTTATTGTAGAGAGAGAGTATGGCACAACTGACGCACAGAGGTTCGTTCCGGTCAGCGTGCGATGTACTAGGAAGTGTGAAGGAAGGGATATGATCGTGTAAACGGGGCGACGTCACGAGGCGGAAGGCCTGCGGAAGTCGCATCCGCTGTCGTGTTGAGCAAACGTTTGGTATGTAGAGGCTAGTGCTATTGTATTAAATATATATTTACATGTTAATAGTGTTGTATGTATGACAATAGTAGCGTGACGGAAGGAGTCTGCTACGAGTGGCCGCAAAGGGGAGTCCCCTTGCAATAAAGGTTATGTGAAAACATTTGAGTTTCCTTAGCGAGCCCCCTTGGGGAAAGGTCATGTGTGGAATGGGTCTTACATTATATGTGTATGTGTATATGTATATATATATGTGTGTGTGTGCGTGTGTGTGTGTGTGTGTGTGTGTGTGTGTGTGTGTGTGTGTGTGTATGTATATATCTGTCTATCTATATATAAGTGTATATACATTTATATTTGTATATATCAGGAAAGATAGACCGATATATAGATATGTATATGATATGATATATATATACATATATATATATATATATATATATATATATATCGAATGTATATCTTTCTATCTTCCTATCTATATATATATATATATATATATATATATGTATATATATATATATATATATATATATATATATATATATATATATATATATATATATATATATATATATATATATGTATATATGTATATATATATGTATATATATATGTATATATATATATATATATATATATATATATATATATATATATATATGTATATATATATGTATATATATATGTATATATACATGTATATATATATATATATATATATATATATATATACATATATATATATATATGTATATATATATATATATATATATATATATATATATATATATGTATATATATATATATGTATATATATATATATATATATATATATATATATATACATATATGTATACATATATATATATATATATATATATATATATATATATATATATGTATATATATATATATATATATATATATATATGTATGTATATATATATATATATATATATATATATATATATATATATATATATATGTATATATATATATATATATATATATATATATATATGTGTGTGTGTGTGTGTGTGTGTGTGTGTGTGTGTGTGTGTGTCTATATATCTAGCTATCTGTCTATCTATTTATATATAGACATTTATATTTATATATATAGGGACATAGATAGACATACGGTGTATGTATATATATATATATATATATATATATATATATATATATATATAGAGAGAGAGAGAGAGAGAGAGAGAGAGAGAGAGAGATAGATAGATAGATATAGATATAGATATAGAGATATAGATAGATAGATATAGAGATATAGATAGATAGATATAGAGATATAAATATATGTGTATGTATAATAATGATAATGATAATATCAAAATAGTTACATAGTCTTTGGAAGTGTTTGTAACATATCACCTTGATTTACAAATTAAAAAGTTATTTTGAAAGACATGTGCATGTTATGACATTTATGTTTGTTTAGAAATAGTACAGCATATATAGGTGGTCAGCATACTTGGCTCTGACCTCTATGTTGAGGCCGGGGGCGTTTACCACGGCAAGGAAAACAGTAACCCCGAGGCGCGTGTCTTATGGTACGCCACATCTAGCTTCAACCTAATCCGAAAGCACGCCGCAGTACGACACCCTGTGGCGACGCGTGGTCAGGAAATCCGCCACAAACTCCAGAACGGACGCGCGGCAGCCCAGGTGGCACGGCTGCGTGACGGCGACTGTTTACGAAGTCAAAAGTCTTCTTGAAGTCAATCCGCATCAAAGTCACCATGGTGTCGAGCGATCCAGGCCCTTTAGGATGGCGTTCAGGATAAATATCAAATAGTGGGAAGTTGACCTGCCCTTCGAATTGCCACATTGCCTCTTATGCAACTTGGGTCGTATGTCGCTAAGCAGCATCAAACTAATGATGATACGTGACGAGTTTCCAGACATATCCGGAGCCGACCTAATTAAATAGTAAAAAATATTACCAAACAATAATACTGACCATTTTCCAAAACTGTGCATGATCTTTTTTTGCGTCATGAGTCAAAAGTGGGACCATGCACCGTTAAATATCCTATGAGCTGTGTTTCAGAAATTCCGTTAAGAACACTGAATACCGTACCCCATTTCTTCTTTATTTCGTCTACATGTATCATTTTCATGAAGATTTCTCGAGTAAGCATGAGAGAGGATTCGTCACTGATGCATAGACATTTATGATTTATGGAAATATTGACCAAAACAGTTTCGAAAAGCATATTCCAAAGTCAGTGAAGTCGGCGCTCTTATTCGTTATTATTATATGCTCTCTCTCTCTCTCTCTCTCTCTCTCTCTCTCTCTCTCTCTCTCTCTCTCTCTCTCTCTCTCTCTCTCTCTCTCTCTCTCTCTCTCTTCCTTCTAACATTGTCATTATTTTCGATAAAGCTTTACAGAAACTCGACCAGACAGCGCAGGCTTTAACACTGCAGTAATAACAAATTATATTTCCTTGAATTTTACTTGACACAGAATGAATACTCATATTAATATTCACTTAAACGGAATTTATAACAGTCCTTACGTAACCTTTACGTAATCCAGTTAATCTAGCTTTAAACATGACTTTCCCTGTTGAAGACAAACTTGATATTCACGTAAGACTTATCAAGCTAAATATTATTTCAAATTAATTAGGGACACTTATACCGTGTACTTGGCTTGCATCTACTTTGATGATATGTGCGTTATGATTACATTTATGACGTCAAGTGATAGGCAGATTAATTTTAGTTATTATGGATTGGTTTTCGTGTAATGTTCAAAAGAGAAGAAGTCTATTTTTAACTGAAATATACATCGTTATATATTCAGTGCAGGGTGATGGAAAGGTCGCGTGATTATAAGAACCAAAATCTAAGTTTCATCTGAAAGTAACAAGAAGAGAGACTAAGGATTATTATAATATCAGAGAAACTTGTTTTTCTTCTTTTTCTTCCGTAGGTCGTTTAATTAATAAAGGAAACTGATCTTCGGTAGAACTGATGTTTACATTAATGTAAAAAGGTTCTACAAGGGAGGGAGACAGGGAGGGAAAGAGGAAAAGAGGAAGGGAGACGGAGGGATAGAGGGAGTAAGGGAGACAGCGTTGAGGAGAGTAGCATTAACCAAAGAACAAGAGTAAGAGAAAAGAAGAAAGGGAGGGAGGGGGAGAGAGAGGAAGGAAGAAGGGAGGAGACGGAGGGAGGAAGAGAGACAGCGTTAATGAGTGAGAGAGGAGGAGGAAGGGAGAATAGGGGAGGCGGAGGGAGGAAGGAAGACAGCGTTAAGGAGAGAGCAAGAGTGAGAACGGAAGAGGAAGAGAGAGGGAGAGAAGACGAAGAATGGAAGGGAGACAGTGTTGATGAGAGACAGACAGACAAGAGAACAGACAGATAAACAAAAAGAGAGAAAAATAAAAAACAGAGAAAAGTAAACCAGACAACAGCAACAGCAAAATTACCAAAATCATGAAGAAGAAAAGATTAAAGAAATAGAGAAAAGAACAAGAAAAAGAAAAAGAAATAGAAAAGGAAAAACAGAAATAAAAAGAAGAGCAGGAAGAAGTTGTAAGGTTATGTGACAGAGGAACCCAAAAGAGGCCACCCGAGAGGCGGGAGGCTTCGGGCTTGGGGGCCGAGGGA